TGAAGCGAAGAATATCTCATTTAATGAGGTCTCAAAACAGTGACAACATTCAGGCACTGCATGTGTGTGTATGTGTGTGTGTGTGTGTGTGCTGTAAGTAATGCTGCTTTTTGACGATGTGTTGTGAAGCTGCTGAGGATGAGAGTTCATCCTGACAAAAACTACACAATAAAACAGCGGAGAGGGTGAAAATTGAAAAATAGGTGGAATTAGAACTTCCAGTTGATTGCATTGTCAAAACTAATTTTCCTCCATCCCTTGATTATTTTTCTCACCTTGAATAACAATCTGCATGGCTTGGCTTTGATTTCCAGCCTCCGAATTCTCAGACAGTCTCCTGATTGCTAATTGTGCTATGTGTCAATTTGTGTGCCCGCTTGTATACAGAATGCCTTTTGTTTAGCCTGTGTAAACATGGATTGGTTTTGTTTCTGTCTGAAAAGCCTGTATAGGATCTCTGGAGGTCATGAGGATCCATGCTCCACGGCATTATTTGCTATCAAACAGGTGTAATTTTTATTCTGCAGCCTTCACGTCCAATCCAAACTTTTAGCGTGTTCTGGAGAAATAAATTGTTACTTTGAAATGGTAGGTTTTTATCTCTCTCACATTTTCTGAATCAATAATCTGCCTTGACAAGACAATAGCTGACAAAACACAAGACATCAGTGATGCACGCTTTCTTTGGAACTGCAGTGTTTTAACGATTTGTGAGAGCACAGTTAGGTTTTTTAAGGATATTCTGTGTTGTGTAGGAGTGTGTGCACCTGCAGCTCCATTTGTCAGTTTGCCACTGTGTGTGCTTATGTGAATACGGGTGGCAGCGTGCTTTTGCAACAGGAGACACACGCACACAGTGAATGTATTCCAGCTCTGTTTTCAGGCTTTTCAAAGGGATGAATCAGACTTCTCCCGGCGGATTGTGTGTGGAGGTGAAAGCCAGCTGAACTGAGCCGTGGGGACGCGAGGACAAAGGCCTGATGGATTAGGGCTGCAGTTTTCACTTCTGAGCCCATGTCTGATAAACAAAGTCAACACAGGCTGGGCTGCCTGAGCTGCAGTTATTGCTGATTGGCTCTGAACACAGTAAGAGTGTGCTACAGCGTTTGCCCCCTTGCTGTGTATTTGTAGGATAGGATGAGCGGGGATATGATGGAGGTGTAGGGACTCCAGGTGTGATCCGTGTGCTCGAAGAAGTAATGCGGTAGGAAAGTGAGGGAGTCAGAGAGAGTCTTAACGGTATATGTGTGTGTGTGTGTGTTTGTGTAAAGCAATTGCTGGTGAGAGACAAATTGCATGATGGATATTTTAATGGCTGCATCAACGAGTCTATTCCTTTCACAGTCCCAGTATATCCTGGCCTTTTAGTTACACTGACAACCAGCAGTGGAGCTTATATAAACAGAGACTTTGTGCCCTTGGTATATACTGTATATCTGTAGTTCCCAGCCTGTTTTTGTCTGATGTACCCCTGCAGCTCTGTCAGGTGAACCTTCAATGCTTCGTTCACTGGGAGGCTGCTGAGCCCGGTTCCGTTGCATTTTCTCCATAAAATGGGATTCAGTTTGCATTTTCTCCATAAAATGGGATTCAGTTTCACCCAAACCATTGATACAGTTTGCTTTTGTACCATTGATAAAGTTTTTGTACGGTAAGCAGTGAGGCCCAACCCCCAGAAACACTCCGCTCCAGCAAAAAGCCATGCTGCTGCTAGCTAGCTTTTTAATGAATCTTAGGACTGAATCAGTAAAAGTTGAAGATTGATTGACAGGTGAATGTCATGATATTATTGGTGGAAATTGTTTGGTTCATTTGTCGCATTTGTCTCTTCACCTGGACTTAATTTAGGCCTAATCAATGAAAACATACCTATAAATGTGATATTCTGTTTATCAATTACTCCAGAAAGTTGCAACGTTGCAATCGCAAATTCAACCAATCGTCATGAATTCTATGTGGCTTCGCAATTTTGTCCAATCACTGCAACTGTTACGCAGATTTGACCAATCATTGTAGTTTCCTGCCTTCTTGTGCAAAACACTGAGCCATACGTCACCTGACTCTTCCTTGTTTCTAGTTGTTAAGACGCAGACCATGCACACATGTGCGATGCAAACGTGTCACATTTACCCTTAGAATCCTGATTTTATTCTCACTAGGACAGGTTTCCTTCATTTTCAAATGAATTATATACAGCTGCCAGTTTTATAATCTTTGTCTTGTAATTTGGTGCGAGTCAGTTCTCTACTGTTTTGATAAGAATGCACCACTCAACATTTGCTACAGTGATGTTTGAGTAATCTGTGTATATATATAGTAGAGTATAACTGTAGTAAAGTTAAAATAGGCAGCAGCAGGAAGGCTGGGTGCTCCTGCTGTTTGCAGCTCCAAATCTGAATTTCTTCATTAATTATATATATACGCTTTTTTATTTTGCCTTTTTTAGTCAGGCTTCCTTTTAGATCTGACTTTTTTTGGAAGCTACAACTCCCTGATAGCTGGTGATTTGTATGCTCAGAAATATTTAGTATATATGTTGTACTGGGACACCGTAACAGCTGTGTTGTGCTGTCTCTACACAAAGAAATTGTATAACTTTACTCACCCAAAATAAGAAGCTGAAGAAGAAGAGAAAATATCTGATCCATGGATTGACGAAGGAGAACGTCTCAGCTCGGTTCAGATTTAGTTTCCTGTCCATTGTTTGTCCGTGTTTTTACACTCACGTAGACCTACAGTGAGTTTAGCTTCACAACAGTCCCCAGATCCGGCCCCACCCTGCACATACTCACCCGCCATGTGAATCTGAGAGGAGGGGGTCGTTTGCTGGCTGTGGGGGTGTCGAGCTGGCTAAAAAAGGGGGCATGGGGCTGTGACGCTGCTCCGCCATGCTGGTAGGGCCCAGAACTGTCTATGTAGGCAGGCGGGTCAGATTACACAAAAAATATCTCTGGCTGACTGCAGCTGAATGGCCTACGAGCTTGGCAGCATTGTCAGCCTGCTGCCAGATTGTAGACCTTTCACCTCCACGCACTCTCCGTTACCTAAAAGTTACTAGATCCTGTATCGTAGGCCTACAAGCATATAGCCCTCTTGTTTCAACATCAGTGTTTATTGCTTCTGAAAGGATTGTATTGTAGTCTGCAGATTACCGCTTCAAAGAAAGACGTTCTCCTGCAAAGAATTGAGCTGAATGACAGTTGACAAAGGCTGGACAATGACATCTTTGTGAGGAAGGACATGTAATGTAGTTAAATCAGTTACATCAAGCAGTTTGCTCTGATGTTTCCGCTGTGCTGTGTCCATTTGTGCTTGAGAGTGAATCTGCTGAATTTCAGCCAAATAACACTCACATGAATCAAAAGGCAAAATGTCAGGCCACCTATTCTGTAATGAGATTAAGATGGAAAACTCAATTGATAGTCGTCTGGCAAAATGCATCATCTACCCGAGTGATAGAGGGATTATCTGAGGATAGAGTAAAGAAAGAAAATAATAAATCACATAACTGATTTTATGTGAATATATAAAAGATCCCCTACTGGCTCCCTAGCTCTATCTTCTAACTGTAGCTTATGATTCAGAAATGTAGTCTGAACTGTCCTTGACGATGGGAATACTGTATGTGAATACTTAATCACAAGGTTGGGGTTTTTTTTTCATCATTATATCAAGTATCAAGTGTAAGTGTCTCCAGTGGAGTGACAGAAGGACACGAGGTCCCTCAGGTACCTCAGTGCCTTGCCAGAGGTGCATGAAGACTTAATGAGGTTGATGTCTGTTTTGTAGATAATATACAACTTTCTTTTGTCCCACAGACACATAATTGGAATTTACCCTTCCTATTCATGCAACATCTTGCTTATATAATTCAACCTAGAGTATGAGTTTTGTGTTTCATAGCAATGCGTTTCATAATAGTGAATGAGCTTGTTTCACAAAATGATATAAAAAGCTATTGCCTGACTAATGTCATTAAATATTAGGCTACTGTCAGCCCTGTAAAACCATCATGTGACATTTTTTTACCCTTTTGTTTTTGCACAGATTAAAAAACTAAATATAACATGTTGTGGTGCTGGTACAGTTAGCGGCTGCTAGCTGTAGCTTCATATTCATCATACAGACATGAGAGTGGTTTCAATCTTCCCATCGATTTCAATGCAACATAAGTTTGATGCTGTAGCTAACTAGCTAACACCAGGTAGTGTGAATTGATTCGACTGAAAGGTCCAGTGTGTAGGATTTAGTGGCATCTAGTGGTGAAGTTGCAGATTGCAATCTGGGAATGAGAACCAGGCCGTGAAGTGTGTAGGTCGGAGAAATAACAGTGGCGGGGAAAAATGCAAAAGGCCCCAGCGACAGCAAGTGTTTGTCCGCTAGTGTAGAAACACGGCGGTTCAACATAGCGGCCTACATGTAGATAACAACGGCTCATTCTAAGGTAACGAAAACACAACGATTCTTATTGTCAGGTGATTATACACCAATAAAAACCTATTCCATTGCTGCCAATAAAGCCTGCTAAATGTAACACACTGGACCTTTCAAATGCAATTGTAAATGTTAATGTTATAGAAGTAAACTGATTTCTAGCGTCCTTCAGACAGGACATAGATGCTTTAAACTAACTGAAGTTTTAACCAATTGTGTAATGCTACAGAAAGCCCAAAGCAGTATTAGTCATGCTGTATTTGCATGTGAAGTCATGTCAAAACAGCTTGACAAAGATCGAAAAGCCTCAGTGCTGTGCAGTTAAAAAGATAGCGGGTTTACTTTGGGAAACACGACAGATTGGGAATATATAGTAGCAGATACAATCTGCATATCAGCTGCAACGCAGGTTAACAAGCCGAATAATGCTGCGTGGAGACAAACTAAACAGTCTCAAAAAAAGAAAATCCTCCCAATTCAGGTTAATGAAATGAGCTCTGCTGAGGATGAGGGGAAAACAACGTGAAATGCTGCAATAACAATTAGGGTAGAAAAAGTATCCAGGGTTGATTCTGTTCACTTTATTTCAGTACATGTTACTCATACAAAATAATCTGTACAAAGGCTAAAATAGGTCATATTTTGCATAGAAGGAACAGTGATGTAAAACAAAAAGCCAGGATGGAATGGCACAGTAAACTCCACTCACTATCACACACGGGCCGGATAACAATTAGGTTTAAAAAGGGATAAAGCTCCATACAAAAATACTCTTCTGCTCACTCCATGCTGTAGAAACACAAGACAAATTGGCCATGGTTCCCACTTTCATCATCTCCCTTTTGTTCTTTTAGAAAAAAAAAACAAAAAAAAAAAAAAAAAAAAACGTCTGCCTAACTGCCTGACTACCATTAGCTCATCTCAGCGTCTTTTGGACAACAGTCCCTCAGGTTTTGTTATTTTTTTAAAAAGAGGCCATTTTAAGACGGCAATGCCACTCTCTTTCATTCAATGCACCATGGGATCTGCTGTGACACCGCTCTACTTTGCTCTTCCTGCCAAGTCCTGTCTTCCAACCCCAAAACATCAAACACTGTTTAAATGCTGCCTACATAATTGACAGTGACATAAAAAGTGAATACATCAGGAGCATCGAGTCATTAAACATGAAAGGCAATGAGCGTACGGTTTCGTGGAATTTTGTGACACTCTTTCCTTTATTTAAAAAATAGTTGATTTAGAGAATAAAGAGAAGGTAGTGCACCACCTAGTATAGATATTCAGAGTGCTTTCACATGTAGCAGAAAACTCCACAGGACAAGGCTGGCAGGTATCACCCGGCAGAACACAACATCAAACACACCATTTCTAGAGCATACATTTCCACTGCTCAGATATTGAGCTTTAGCACGGGGGAAGGATTAGGAGGAGATTACAGAAATAATATGTCAAAGGTGGCAAATAAAAAGAAAATAAAAATCTGTTTCTATGTCTCAAAATTCTTCACAGCAGACAAAACCAAATTACTGCATGTGCGTTCTTCCTTTACCATCTCTGTGGCTTACTGGTAGTGCTTCCATGGATAAGAGGGAATACTTTATGTATATATATATATAAAAGAAAAAACATACGGAAAATGTATCTTAGAACAAGATGCAAATGCAGTCAAATAAAATATGAAAACCATACTGACAAAAACACAAATTTACATCAAATTTACACTGCTCCTGTACTTTAAAAGAAGAAACCAGAGGCAGAAAAACAACCAATCAAAAGTGACTAAATGGATAACATAGAGGTGGAAGAGCATGGGTTGTTAGGCAATTCAGAACTAGAAAATGGCAATTAAACTGATTGCAAGTGGCGGACGTAAAGTATGACAGTAAGTTACATCAGTTGTAAAAATTAGCATATTTACATCCGGGGCTAACGTACAGGGCTGATACACTGTGGTGACATGAGCTCTGTGTTGTGCATTGTCGTCTAATAGATCATGCTCTACAAATACATAATGGGGCCTTACACTGGCAGTTTTAAATGACATACTGCAGATTATACCAGCACGTCCTAATTTAATTAAACTAGGTCCTAATACAGAGAAGCACGACGACAAGCGTGCGGTATGTCTTTTGTGGGCTTCACCCGATGCTATATGACAGATTTCCTCTTTCTATCAATTCTGACTTAATTGCTTTAACTGCCCGTAGCAATGTTAAGACAGAAAGGCATTTTTGCACCTTGTAGAGGGACATCACAAAGACTATTCCTGAAAAACAAATGCTTAATGTAACATTCTTACAATGAGTGAATATGAGCCTGTGTCACGAATGGTGGAAAAAAAAAAAGCCAGTAAAAGCAGCCTACAACAAGCGAAACACCAGTATATCGTATAAAAACAAACATTAAAACAGCGACAACCAATGTACAAAAATAACATCATTAAACAGCTCTTGTTAAAATGGCATTCATCCCTGCATTCTAAGAAACATGTAGCGACATTTTCTCTAACAAAACCATGAAAACTAGTGGCAGAGTTGAAAAGGAGTTCACACGGAGCAGAAAATGTCTGAATGTCAGCACCGGCAGATCAGTCAGGGGCAAAGACTTCCACGGTTTGCAGGCTGGCTCTCTGAAATTTGACGTCAGATTTGGAGGCAGACACTGGATTTGTTTTATTTCTGCCATTGTCACATTTTCAGTGACATCTGCGTTCAAACACTCCCCCCCCAATGCAAGACAAAGCAACACAACTAAATATTTATCTTGGGTTTCTTCTGAACTTCTTGCCTGCAGTAAGGTTACAATGCAGTCTGATTTACAGAACGGTTACAGCCATTTCCCCTACAACCCCTCCCGGGTGCAGAATATACCTCACATCTGCTTCGAGGCATCCCAAGAGCCCAGCTGTATTTCTTCAGTCCTGCCAGCTACTGTATATGTAGTGCCGGGTGTCTGCAGAGCGAGGAAGTAAATAAAGGATGTGTGGAGAGTTTGTGGAGGCAGCCAAGCAGAGGAGATGTGACCACTCGTGCCTGCGCTGTACATCAGCAGCTGTCATGTTCCCCCCGTGGACACAACAAGAAGAGTTGGAGCATATGGGGGGCAGGCAGTGAATCACAGCCAGCAGGGTCGCCGCACATCATAGCCCAAATCTGTTGCTTCCTGATGCACGAACCCTGCTCGTCCTAAAAAGGTATCACTCAGATTAAGTCATTATAAAACTGATAAAAAAGGATGACTTTAGGGGGTACTCAGAGGCAAACAGGCTGCCTGACTGGAAAAATGTCTAATGAGTGAATCTTGGTGGGTCATTTTTAATTTCCTTGCTGTGTCATTTGTTTGCCCATGTAGCAGCAATGCACAGTGTCTGAGTTCCAAGGCTTCTTCCAAAGCAACAAGCTCTCCTGTCACCGATTACCTTGGATACTATTTAGAAAACAGCCACTTCTGGTCCCAATTATTTCTCTACTCGGTTTCCAACAGCTGCAAACAAACGATCACCTGTGTTCTCCTATTAAAGGCTAATTCTAGTTCATGGTCTTATTTTTGTGGATTTAGCCATCATCCCTATCACTAATAGTACTGCAAGTTATTTGCTGAGATCTGGGAAAATGAAAACATTTATAAAAAGATGTCTGCTTTTTCACCAATTGAAATATGTCTGCTCTTGTACCCACTGATGGCTGTTTTTTTGGTTGTAGAAGGAAAAAAAAGGGAGATGTCTTCCTGTCAGAAAAATTGGCTGTTTCCAAAATCTCCATTTGCTATATAGTGCACTATTTTCACTGTCCCACATTTCCTCAATCTGAATTCTGAGTGTGAAATTTCCCACAATGGACAGGTCTAATCAGCCAGATTAATTGAAAACACTTCTATGAATGCATTTGCATATTTCTTCAACCATTGTGAAAGATGCCAACAGCTTCTCGCAGTCACGCTTGTGTCAACTGAAAAGGACGCTGTCACATCATTTAGATAAGTCACTGGACACAGTCTCACAAGCAACATGTCAATTCTGATTATCATCCTATGGAACATTAGCAGTCAGTCATCATTAAACAAACTCCCAGAGTAGCCACAGTTATTTGGAAGAGAAAACAACAGTGAACAGTCCACGTGTGCGCGATGATGGATTACTACTGATATTGAGACTTTCTGTTTTGTGAATGAAGTGGTAGCTAATCTGGTTAAACTGTTGTATTGTTTACAACCTGTCTGCTCGCTTGTGTCTTGTCCAAGTTGGACATTGTTGAAATGTTGTAGCCATGTTCTCAAACCTCAGCATTTACTTTAGTGAGTATGTTGTTGTCATACATGATGGCCCAAGCAGATCGTTTAACATTAAGCTAGTCCTTTACCCCACTGCCTCTCATATACTCACAGGCATTTTGAAGCCTAGGGTGCACACACTGGAGGGCATTTTCTTGAAGTCGCCACAGCTTTAAGAGTATTTTCAGTTTTAAGGAGGCAGGCTTGTGCTCAGGCCTCTTGCAAGAAATCAGTGGTAAACAGACATGTCCTACAGGGCATGTTGCCATACCTTTCTGTCTCAGCTTTGATCTGCCTGCGCCCCCTCCTCTGAGGCTGCTAGAAAAGGAAGTGTAAGTAAAATGGGTAAAGTTGCAGACCTGAGGTGTAACCTTGTGATGAACAGGAATGTCAGCAGAGGTATTATGTGTACGTATGGAGTGTGAAGCTCATTGCTTTCTGACATGTGGGAAGGAAAATTGGAGTGAAAAAAAAAAGAAATGGAAGAGGGGGCTGACAGTCGGAGAAAGGAAGAATGAGGAGGGCAGAGCAAATGGATGAAATCTCAAGAATATAGAAGAGAAAGTCTCTCGCCGCTTCCACTGACGCATTTGATGGCAGCACAGAGACAACATGTCTGCTGTTTTCAGCCCACTGTGCCCTTGCTTCTGTGTGTTTCTATGGCCTGATTTTTTTCCTCTGCACCTTGGACAATCTGATAAAACACCCCAAACGAATGTTGCGCACACACACGCGCGCACAAAAAATTCAGTATGTATTCTCGAAGGGGTACCTTCATCACCCAGATCTCTTCACTCGACAGTCCTGGCGGGGCCCTAATAAACAGCCCATTTTACACCATTTGTATTGTCTCACAGCCAATGGGAATACTGCTGCTGTGTGGCAGTACAAAGTGTGTGTGTGTCTGTGTGTTCACTGACAGATTTGTGCATTACAATTTATTATTCAGAGGATACTGCAGAATTTGGTATGAAATAAATCCACTGATGATTCCTCATGCTCACATGACGTTCCTACAACACGCTCATTCTACCCAAAGCTCTATAGCCGAATGAAAAACATATGAATCATAGATTACATTTAACAGCACCCCGACATGTCTGTGCCCCTCTGCAGCAACGTCACGTCAAATCCAAACCGCCCCCACACACACACACACACACACATACAAACACACTGCATGTCTGAGAGCTCATTGCACCGATCTGTTTCACACTTGTGTTCACAGGAGCATCAATGACATACTTACAAAAAAAAACAAGACAAAATGAAGACGTTTGACATTTCGACGACAAAGTTAAATCTGTAAAGTAGAAAACTAGCATGCCATGTTGGAACTTTTTTCATTTACAAGTGAAAAGGGGGCTTGACTTTAATCAACATGAAGAAAAAAAGAAAAAAAAACTCCACAAGGGGTGGAGGGTATCATCAGTTTCATATGTTCTCTTTGCCTCTCAGTGGGGTGTGTGGGCATTAGTAAAGTCTTCATTGTCTCAAAGTCTGTCCTTCTTTCCAGCAAAATGTTAGTCCAAGCAAAAAATATATAAAATAAAATAAAATAGAAATGTACTCAAGAGGAGTGACAACCAATGGGATTCTCTTCCTTGCCAAAAGTAGGTGTCCTTTCTCTTCCAGTTGTGTTACTCTTTGGCAAAATGAATGGTGAAAGGGGAGAGAAGAAGAGAGCGGGGACACAGCTGGAATCTGTACAAAAGATCTGGGAAGAGGGGTGGGGGTGGGGGGGGGCAAAGGATGCTTTAAAGAGGTTGTAAAGTGATGTGTGGGTGGGGTGGGGGAAGCAGGGGTGTTTAAATCAGAGTCTTATCCCATCAGGCAGTGGGGCTCCTCTCCGCTGGGTGCCTCCCCTCAAGGCTAAGCGTCGTACTTCTTTCCCGTTCTGTGGATGTGGTGGAACAGCGTCATGGAGAACGCCATGCCCAGGAGCTGCGGAGGAAACGAGAAGGAGATAGTGAATTTGTGTCTGCATGTATTGTGTATATATATATTTATGTGTGCGGTTACGTATGATGTATGTATGTCTCTGTGTGGTGTTTTTGATGTTGATGCCTTGGGCTGCTATGCATTTTTTTTGATTCACAATAAATCCTGTGGCGAAGCACGAGCACATTTTCGTTCACTCTCGTTTTCTCAGATGGCCTTCAAATGCAAGCTCTGGAATCTTTGTGATAGAAAAAAAACTTACAGCGAGCACAAGCATTAAGTCAATGAAGTAAATTGAGATGCCACTGAATCAAAGTAGCCAGCTATCTCTTTGAAGTTTCCATTACCCCTGATACTTCTACATCAAACACAGTCACAAGGCTGATCCTAAAACCATTATCTGGCAAAGTTCGGATGGCAGGGATACTGCAAAGTACTGTATGGTGCATAGTCTTTACTAAAAAGGCAACGTGGACTTCCTGCAAACAGCTTCCACTGGGGATTCCTACAGGATGTGATTAGCCCGGAAAAGCTGCTGATTCTCTTCTTTTAGTTTCAGTCAAAAGCTAATTCTGCTTAAGAGAAAATGCTACCTTAAGCTGCTGTCAATCAAAACATGAAGTGCCATTTGAGCTAAACAGCCAGCTAAGAGACAAGACTCTTCAAAGAGCAGTCATCATCCATACACAAGTAGAGCCGGCATTTCTATTTTCTATTTTATTTCTATTCAAAGTCACAGATGCTGCTAGTCTAAATCATTCATAAAGCCAGTTCTCTATCCTCTGGCTATTATGTAACATTGCAGAATTGTGTCATCAACTTTTCATGATGCTCAACACTGTCATGCTACCACCTTGCCTTTAAGTCTGCTAATCTGACAGCTCAAGGCCTGAGTCTCCATTCACCCACCTCTCACCTGAATTAGAGTCAGAGAGAGAGAGAGTGTGTGTGTGTGTGTGTGTGTGTGTGTGTGTGTGTGTGTGTGTGTGTGTGTGTGTGTGCGCGCGTGTAGAGATGGAGAGAGATCATTAAAATCAATGTCAGCCGAGTTGGTGTGGGGTTTCACTCTGCTTGAAGACTTTATCAGTCTCAGGGCAGATATTTGTCACTATTCTGCATGAACATACTGTGTGTGTGTGTGTGTGTGTGTGTGTGTGTGTGTGTTTGAAGAAGAATGAACAGACAGGGAAGAGACCCTGTCAGATAGAGAGAAGAAGTCAGTTAGAATAAATGCATGCAAGCATATAAGATTAGTGCGATCCTGTCATGAATACACAGTGATCTGAAGTTGGCCAATATATTTGAGGCTGACTTTCCCTCAGTGAGGTTGCACTAAAGCTCAAGCACCATCTTCCCCTAAGGATATTAGAATGTGCAGAATCTCAACAGAGAGATTTAACAGTGAGCCCACCTTGAGAGAACCGTGGACTCATGGATTAGCAAACTGAAGCCTCGTATTGCACAGTCACAGACAGGCCCGGGAGGGCAGGGAAAATAAAGGAAGAGGAAATGTTGAGAGCATGAAAAGTGGAAAGGAAGACGCAGAGTGCAAGGGATGATCCACCTGTTTTCATGCGCATTTTCAATTTGAAAAAAATAAATAAACCCGGAGAGGAAAATTAAAAAATAGCCGTAGCTAAAACGTTTATTACGCATGGCTGAGGTGGAAAAGCTGATGTATCAATAAAAACAAAAAGGTGAAATGGACAATGACAAACATGAAGCGAGTGACTTAGGCATCATTCAAGCAGACGAAAACATCAGCTATGTGTAGATCGAAAAGGAAACTGTGATATTCCTCAAATTAATGAGTGAAAGAAACAGAGATTGTGTATTTCCATTATGTTTCCTACACCGTTTTTGTGTGTTTAAGGTTTGACCATTTATCATTGTGCCTCATTCTTCTGCAATGGTTTAATTAGCGCCACCATCTGTTGATCTCAATGTGGTCAACTCCTAATATTAGTATTGCAGTAGTGGATAGAAACTCACTTTAATTAGCATTCTCTTGCTGGTATAATGCCCATATGACTATAAACAGTTCATTTTCATTGTTTATTTTTGCTGAGAACTGTGCACAGCATAAAGAAAAAATAGGCTAGAGCTCAACTTGTCGGGTGTTGCTCCGACCATGTGTGTGACGCCCTGCTCACACACGCAATGTGGCTGCTTCTAACTTGTTAACATGGGCGCTGATATTAAAAGCATGAGTTCCTGCGCCGCACACGTGCAAATGCAAAGACAGCGAGACACTCACTGTACAAAGACGGATCGATGTAAAGCAGAGTTTAGGACAAAAAGAGAAACAGTATGTTAGGAGGAATGTCTGTCACCTCTCCCTACAGTGCCTTTAATATGCGACTCCACACCTGTTTCTCTATATTCACTATCTCTGCTCTCCTATCTTCTGATAACTCCTTATACATTACTACAGTCTGCTTGGCACAGAGCCCAGACAGGATCAGGGTCCAGAAGACAGTGACTTCAATATTTCAAGATGTGTGGGTGCCCAGAACGCCCACCGAGCACAGGCCTCATAACTTTCGCTGTAGAACACGGTGGCACAGAGGCCACTGAATGCACACGTTTTTTTCAAAACATGTAGCCAGACAGGCAGACACAAACAAATGCACCCAGACACAAAGCGAAAAGAAGAAAAGGGAGGGAAAATAAATGGTAGAGAAAGAAATGGAGAAGGAAAGAACAATTCATCACTAAGCCTCCTACCTGCACTACTAAGATGACCATGCCTATGGTTCCCAGCAGGTGCTTGTTGTCATCCAACCATTCCTCCACTTTCTCGAAGCAGCCCTAAAATGGAACAACAGCTTGTGAAGAAACCACTAAAGAAATGTGAATTTTCAGTGTGTTAGAGGAATCATGTCACCATCAAGTTCACGCTTTCCTATAAAAATGTCTCCTACATATGGGCTACCAGGTGAGGTGTTAAAATAAATGAATAACCCATGAGTGATGACTTTAATGCAGACTTCGGGCCATATGGACAGACGTGTGCGCTAAGTCTTAAGTGTATTCCCACCTGGGTTCATTCAGAGGTCGCTCGCTGGCAGTGAGGTGGGGTGAAGGACTTAATGGTGGTTTCAGCTGGAAAGTGGTGCCCCTTCTTGGGTGTGGGTGCTGAGGCAGCATGTAAGGCTTAACTACAGTATATAGTGTGTGGCCGTCTCCTCTGGGCAGGATTACACACAAGCTTTTAGTGCTGGGCTTTCCCAGTGGACCAGCTCAATGTCTGCCTATTCTCATTTTGGCAATTATATTACAGCATTTAATCCCCTACTTTAGACCCGCTAACAAACCACATGCCAGACCAATAGCAGATTAGACTTGTAATGGGGGGATATTGGTGAACATTGTGCTGCAAAGGGCTGTTGTCTCATGAATAATGCAAAACAAAAAATCCAGCGTGATCAGAATCCAGCAATAAGATGAAAACTTTAACGCAATTTCAAATACACACAGGGTTGTAAAAGCAACTACTGAACAGATGGACCAAATACATATATGATTTATGATTTCTATGTCCCCTGTGAATCTTGTACTAGTATTAGTCTGTGTCCTAAATCAACATAATTATTATTTAAAACCATCATATATTCAAACACAACAAGAAATTTGTTTCTGGCTGTTGATCCCACTAGTGTTTTATCAATGGACGGACTATGGGACAGCGGGCCCCTAGGCACAAACATGTAAAAGGACTTCCTCGTATGGAGGACAGATAGGAGCAGGACAGCCGGGCCGAAAGAGGCAGAGCCACAACAAATAGCATAATTCTTTCTTCTTGCTGTAGCTGATTAATTCACTGAACAATAAATGTCAATATCACATCAAAAAAAGCTCCTCCCCAGGGGCCCTATGACCCCTTGGGTCCCTGTGCCCCATAGGCCAGGTTCAGTAATCCTTTCAGTGTATGTATAACAAAAACATGTTTGCATGTATATTATAGCCAATGTGAACTCACCCTGTTCCAGAACATGTTGGTGGAGTTACGCCCACAGTTCTGGTAATGCTCCTGGCAGCAGCGGTCAGGAACCACCTTCTCCTGTAGGGCCTCGTGCCAGTCGGTGTACGCTATCACACCGCAGCACTTCCACTGTGAATGAGACACACACACACACACACACACACACACACACACACACACACACACACACACACACACACGATTAGTTAATGCTTTCTGTCAGTCCAGGGAGACCTCAAACTAACTTTAATGTAACAAGTATCGTAATTAGTCCCTTTGCTTTAGAGGACTGCAATAATGGAATGAAGTGTACTTCAACAGCCAGTTTTGACTTTCAATGTCGCATTAAAATACAGCTACGAGCCAGGAAATACATTAGCTGGAATATTTCTGTTAAACTTTGCATTTATGTATCACTTCTAGTGTTGTGAGTGAACATTCAAGCTAATGTTTCTAATATTTGATGTAATGCGGGCTGTCAGGTCTGCCTACCTCTGCCTGGATGATGTTCCAGGCATTTCGCAGGCCTATGTTATTCTCTGAGTTGTAGAGAGCCAGCCCATCCTTCAGATCCTGCTTGGCATTCTCACTCACCTGGAGATGAAAGAAACAATAGCAGCCTTGGTTAGAGACCTTGGTTTAAAGGGGTTGGTTGAGCAAGAACTGTCGACTGAGTTAAAGCATTAATAATGTTTATATTGGTGCAGGCAGTTGGAGAGTGTTTGTGAAGGGTGCTTTCATATTATTGTTTACTTTTCAAACTGTAGATGTCTTTTTTAGACAGATGTAAATGATAATAGTGGTGTCCATTGTGTGCAGTGAAGGGAGTTTGAGTATTTTTGGAAGACGTCTGTATGATTGATCATGAATTCTTCTTTTTGTCAACTGACTAATGATGATGAAAACAGTACACAGATAGCAGAGATTTAGCAACAGCTAGAATATAAAGTTACAGGTAACCCTTATCTTGTCATCTAAAAATAACCCTGCTACAGTGACTTGGACTTTTGCATGATGACTGCAGATCTGACACATGTCATGTGTCGCCTCGCTCCACACACACACAGCTTCAACATGCCCTTCAGCAGAGATAGCAAATGATTTTCCTCTTGACTGAACCCCAACAATGTGCTCAGGGTTGCGCCACGTCTGATGGAGATTAATATCTCATTGGATGTGTTAATGAGATACAAAATCAGAGCTTTAGTTCTCCTGCAGTTCTCTTTGCCCATTGGGATTTGCTAACTGCCAGGACAGATTGAGAGGCGCTTCTGATAAGGGGTAATTATTACTGGAAAAATGACATGCACTGCCACAGCCATGCTGTACATCTTCACAGGCAAGTTATATCACAACAAAAGGAATGCACTTGCTTTAATATTTAAAGCTTGAGGCCTCAGACTGTGCCTAGGGAAAAAAAGCTGCACACAATAAGAGACAGGACATCATGTCTGTCACTTCCTGACACAACACGCTTCTTTCAGCTGTTCACCAGTTTCTTTACTCGGAGAGGGAAGACTGGTGTTCAGCTAGGCATTGTTAGGAGGCTGCTCAGTAAATCCTCCAGTTAAAAAAAGAATAGAAGTAGGAAACTGATGCAAGCTGGTAGATATAATATAAAGCCTGCTTTTAAGATATATAAATTTAATGTCGCTTGAGTTATAACCTGTTTAGCTCAGCAGAGACCTGCATTCTGTACAGAGCAAACCTTCCTTTGATCACACAGACAGCTAGATTAAGATTTCAATTAAGTGTTCAGTTCATTTATTGGTGAGAACAACCCCCCCCCGAACCCTTGTTTTCTGAGCTGCGAGGCATAGGAAAACTATTTGCTGAATTAAACATAAAAGAGAAACAGATTTTTTTCCTGATTAATTAAAGTTTCCCTGGCAATAAAACGCTTTAGTAACCATAAATCATGCAAAACCCATTTAAAGCATCCTCTAAAACCTTTGAAATAAGATTAGTATTATTTCAAATCACATTCTTCTTTCTCGCTCTGTAACTTTGCTGATGCAGAGGAGCGAATCTGTGTACTGCACCCCGGGCGGCGGGCCCTACCATATCTGTCCTTGTGCAGGAAAATGAGATGAAGAGCAGCATCATCAATCTATGTCTTGTACTTTGTTTCTATCGTCTATCTTCTCTTCTCCATCTAGGCTATATGTGATGCTGCTCGCTCATTACTGACTCCTCGCTAACACACACTAGAGTGCAGGGGCCCCCCCCACTACAATAAAAATCATCTTCTGGGTCTCCAATAAGTCTCTGCACATCCTCCATTTCATGTGTGGAAGTCTTTGTTACAGCCTGAAATGAAACTTAATGATCCAGATATACCGCTAACGAGAGGCAGACAAATGACTGCAGAACAAACAGGGATTTGATCATGCTACACTGCCCCATTTTCTCCTCGCAAAAGAAGCAGATACAAACACATCTTTGTGGCATTAGCCTATTTTTTCTGATAAGAAAAACTAACTTCTTGACTGAAGTTCATGTTGCTGGTACAGGAAATTGTTCACAAATAACAGTCCGACACCATTCCTTGGCAACATCTAACTCTCGTTACGTTTTCTTTGAAGTTGCCACAGGGCATCAGTGCAATACCTCAAGTGTGGCATATTGACAAAACCCTGAGACACCGCTCATACTTCTCATCATTACATAGATAAGCTTGTGGTTTCCTCTGGGCTGCCCAAGTCCACGCTCAGCAATACAGGACAGCACATTCATCACATAAATCTAAAGGGTTCAGCTCGGCCAGCGAGCGAACACACAAGTATCACAGAAGGGAAGAAAATATGGAGATGTGCTGATACACATGTTGACAGGTTAGAGGAAGGAATGGGCTTTGTATCCAAATCTGTGTGTCACTGTGCACAAAAGCAAAGAACAAAGAATGGGTGGTGGACTGTCTGAGAAACAACTTCAGACGCTGTATTAATACAATGCAGCCAGCAAGTACTGAAATTAGTGATAAGGTATTAAAGCTACTCTCTACTTAATTTAGTTTGTTTGATGCTTTATTTTTTTTTACAACTTAAAGTTGTACAAGCATATTTCTTTGGTTGTGTCTAATCCCAGCACAAATACATTCATAATTCCAGTGCAAAGACTCCCCACTGTCAGAACTGGGCCCCTGATCTAGTGACATGTAAACACCCCGGGGACCAGATACTGGGACTGTCACTGTGCAGACACAAAGCCTCACTGCTTACTCATTACCAGAGTACACAACCATGACTGAGCTGTCTGCTGCAATTTTCAAAAATGTGAAAGATCAGGTCTTTTCATTGGTGTTTCAATGTTGTATGTCCACTGAAAATCCAATTTTCCTGTTTCCAGGGCGCAAAGGTCAAATCCTGTGCCATGCAGATGACAAAATCTTCCATCGAAAAACAAATTTAAAGATATGTGAGCTGTGCCCCAGTCTTGATTCCCTTGTATTTCTTCCTCATTAGTTTTGTCTCAGAGGGCGGTTTGAGCTCCACAGAAAAAGCCCACAACAAAGTATTGCTTATTGCTTAATTTACAGTAGGTGGTGTGATGGGTGTATAGAAGAGCAATTTGCGTATTGCTGTTGGGAGTTTTATTCACTTTTACCCAACTGCTATTTATCACTTTGAGCGATTACACTCTTCAAATGATGTTACAGTGTTTAATTCCAAATGAATCACAGTCTCTGCAGAACAATTTCACAAAAAAATAAAATCCAGACTATGCAGGTGGTTTACTAAACATATTACCACTCGGAGAAAGAAGCCAACTAAATGAAAAAACAAACCATCTGTGAAATAAGACAAATGGTACATAACTACAGTATGTAAAAATCTAGCCAGATAAAAAGAGATTTTTAGCAGTCTGCCACCTTCTGTGCACACTGGCAGGAGAACAGCTTGGGGCTATACATAACTGGATGGGGAACCAAGACATTGGTCAAACAGTTTTTATTAGTGTATGATCTTCTGAAAATAAGAATGGATGTGTTCTTGTTATCTTACAATGAGCGTTTTTTTTTCTACAGAGGAAGTGGGTCCTCTTCCACAGAGGCCGAAATGTTGAACCGCCATGTTTCTACAGTAGCCGAGAACGGACAAATCAAACACTTGCTCTAGATAGGCCAGTTTCGTGGCTGCAGCTGTTTTTGTCTCGTGGCCACAACTCTACTCAAATGGTTGCAATCTGCAACTTCACTGCTGGATGCCACTACACCCTACATACTGGTCCTTTAACTTATGCCTTTAATATCTCTGGCCACTTGGAGCAGCGGACACAAGCTGTGAACAAAACACCAACATATCACCATTTAAGTGTCTGCTGTTTGGTGCAGGGCAGGCAGCGTAGAGAGGTTTTTAGAGCTTTTTTTCGCTGAACACAGCTGCCTACTGGGGCTGAAAATAAAGTGGCAAGAGCAAACCAAAACAGTACAGTGGAAGGTCGGAAAATCAAAACAATTAGCATATAGAATTATAATGCTCTGTAGAGCTGAGGGGAACTAAAGAGTTATAATTATCTGTGGGTTTGTCACAGCATTCCTGTGACTCATTGTATATATAAAAATATTGGCTAGCCATCCTTTACTTGTACATTTACCTTCCTACATACGCATCGTAACACAACACACTAACAGCACTCATGTGAAAGCACATGTTGTGGTATGAAAAATTATGCATTATTCATACCATAGCTGAAGATTTGACTTGATGACGACATGGTCACATTTAGGTCAGGTTATTTTGGCAATTTTGATGTCGATAAGTGGAAAATGGTACGGTCCTAATTAATTCTCAATGGATTAAGGTGTAATACTTTTCATAACTACAACTTGGAATTTCCCATTAAGGCAGGCTTTAGAATCATGCCAATAGTAAAACTGGAAATGAACAGCAATCCTGAGTCTTTGCACAACTATTCTTCAAATTTCTATTCCCTGTTGTACTCGCCTCATCTCCCCCCTCTCATCTCATCTTGAGTCTTTAAACATGACTCATTCTATAAAGTCTTATACAGCTTCACAATTCAGAAGAAATTGTCACATATTTTACTGTCTTCAAGTGAAAGGAAGCAAGTCTTTTTGTGTATTGTCAGATCACAGAGACGATGTTGGCTTTTCTCCAGTCAGCTGTACAACTGTATCGAAATAGTGTTACCTCATAACCAAACGCTAAAGTGACAGACACAGCCCATCTTCCCTCATTAGCTCTGCACACAGGGATAAACTTGTGTCAACCCAGAGAAGCTTCCTTTTTCACATGAAGTTAGCTCTTTCAAAAGTGTTCAAAGCTCCGCAATCATTCTTGGGTCACATGTGTACTGTCAGGACTCCTAAGAACTGAGGCTAACAATATTTTACTGTTGCTCTCATTGGACAAGTGTGTTAGCTAACTGCCCGCAAAGTGTAATAAATGATGTGGAGACACAGCCTCACAGCCAGAGGTCCCCAACAGCACATCATTAAACAGGATACTTAATTCCCTCGGTTGCTCGGCAAGCCTGTGCCGGCTAGCCTGAGGCCGGGGCACTCGACAGAGCAAGGGGGAAGACCCCCACTACTTCTCTGTAATTGGTCTGAATGGAGAAAGTAAAACATGGCCGTGGATTCATTCTGCCCGTGAATAAATGCAATACATGACTAGATGTGCCTGCTGGTTTGTTGGGTTGTTAGTAAGATAGATCAGGAATGTGGCGCGGCCCTACCTGCCCTCTAAGTAGTCTTTCACATGCCTAACTTTCCTTCCTCCTACATGACATCATTACCTTTCTCTGGACAAACAATTTACAATGACACCTTACCTCACTTTTGTCACTTTTGTCCTATTTTGATCCTCCCTTTAGACTATTTTTATTTATCTCTCGCTCTCTCCTCCAACAACTTACCTCCCTACCACATTCATCTTCTTTCCTTTCACAGCGTTAGATATCTCACCTCCCTTTTTCTCTCATATGTCCACCTGTTTTCCCTCCATACCTTTCCCCACCTGCATTTTCTTCTCTCCCTTCATTCCCGTGCACATGCTTTTGGTGCTTCACTTCACTGCTTGCCAGGTTCTGCTTTCTCATTCCGAGCTAATAAACCTTTACCGGTGTTCGGCTCGCCGTGTTGGGTTGACTGAGGCACAATGAGGTCACGGCATTAAAGACGGATGGCTGTAATCTGGTTTGTGGCCTAGCCATCTGCTGTAGTCAGCTGGTTGCTAACTGCAGGGCCAGCCATTATTATACTACGGCCTCTACATGGCATTTAATCAGAGAGCTTAACACCATTGGGCTGTGGAGGGAAAGAGGGGGTACCTACACATAAGCCATACCTGGAGGCAAGACTGCTAGGGCGAGGAAGAAGAGAGAGAGAAATTCTCCATTAAGAAGAAAGAGCAGTACCTCTTAAGCAAGATTAAACTGGTGGAAATGCAGAAGCAAGGGGGGTTAAGATGTGAAATGAAAGCAGTGAAAAAATGTGTTCCTCCAGCAAAACCAGATAGTGTATGTTCGTTTCTTCCTCAAATCTTGTCAACAACTTGTCACCCGGAAGGATCACAGTTCACAGAGGCGTCACTCATGACTTAAAGATGACCTATTTGAAAGACTAAAATATCTGTTTTGCAGGCCTCTGTCGATACGCAATTTACAGCTGCCAACTACTGTATGTCTTCCAGACTTGTTAATAAATGCCTTGTGATTAGAAGATCAAATATGAGAAGTGAATTAGTGATTCCTCTGATCATAGCCTGTAGCAGAGGATGAGGAGAGCCTCACACGGCTTACTAGATCTCACTGGAGAGAAGCAAGCCAAGAGGAGAGAGAAAACAGAGCAACATCTAAAGACCTTGTGTGATGGACACCGATTGTCCTTCATCTAATCCTGACTTTATCCAACATAAAATGCCATCTGAGTAATAGCATCACACAGTTTCCTCAAATTTGCAGGACGCCTCGTTTGGAGGCAGTCTGAAAATGCCGTCTCCAATAACATATAATTTGCTGTGATGGCTTTGCTTTTCCAATGACATTTGAAGACCAATAAAGGGAGCCGTATTTGGTAGCGATCAGCATTATCATGGTTTCAGGTCCCATTAGGTCTAAGCCAGGATAAACACGCTGTAATTTGGCAAGACGGGAGAAACATAAAATGCGGTTGCTATTCACTGGAACTTGTGTGAATGAGACAGTTCTCCCCGACTAACGCCCTATCCCTTAATGCAGACTCATTTGATTTCAGCCCCATTTGGCTATCTTTCTCTGACTTCCCCGGTGATGGGGAGGCACTGCTGTGAAGTCAAGAGGCTCCCCATTAAAATTCCACTGGAGGGATCAGGCTTTGGAGGTTGTTTTTTTTCAAAGTTAAGCCGGTAATATTTTGGAGATAAGGCAGCAGACATATTTACTCCTGACAGGGTGTGCCTCCGAGACCTGATCCAAATCTGAGAATGGATTGGCTGCTAAATGAATTCCTTTATCTGTCTGAGAGACTAAGTTTGAGCAATAACCTCAGAACAAAGAGGGAGAATTAGCCGGCGTCCCAAGGGCCAGGCGACATAGAGACTTTGAATATATAAATAGATGGATCTATCAACGACTTGTCCTTGAAAACAGACAGAAGTCTTCATTGCTTGTCCTGCATAAGACATTTGTCATGTTCAGGATGAGACGTTAATTTAACATGAAGAAGAATCTAGTCTGTTCATGGACCCAATAATCTCCATAGCTTTACATATGGTCATCTGTTGTCACCATATTGACATACACCTATCTTGAGCCCATGCAGGGGTCATGGGAAATGTTCTCGGGGCCAATTCCGGGGAGCCAACTGGTGGGGATTGGGCTGCATTTTGTGGCCTAACCTTTGACTGCTGGGTTAATGGTAGAATGAAGACATTCAACCTCCTGCCTGAGAAACAACCAAATATAAGGAAGAGGAAACTCGGATCCCCCGAAGCAACTGGAACATGGATATGTTTATCACACTAACACCTTTTACTGCATTGTGCAGTTGTGTGTGGCCCTGTGTGTGTGTGTGTGTGTGTGTGTGTGTGTGTGTGTGTGTGTATGTGTGTGCAAGCCTCACAGCCTCGGCATTGTGTGTACACACTATGTATAAGCTGTGGTGAAGTGCATGACAAAAATATTACAGAGTTAACTGGAACAATATCAGTCAAAACATGGAAAACAAAATGAACTTACCTTATCTGAGTACACGAAAAACAGGATGAGTAATATCAGCTCTGCCAGGAGAATTATCAGCAGGACAATGAAGAACTGTCAGAGAGAAGGTGGCAGACTTATTTTAACAATTGCTTTGTCATACTTGTCAAACATGTTGAATCTGAGACTGGGCTTCTGCTGCAGTCATTTGTAAAACCTTTACATGACTGTAGATTGCATACATGACAGTTTGTATACATTTTATAATGAGCTCAGCATCTGTTATTTGTAGTGCTTCATAAACTTAAGCATGGAAACACGTTTGATCAATTTAGGTTAAAGTAAAAGTCAGACATTTTCATAAAATCTGCTCTTTGCTCTGTTGCTGAGAGTTAGGTTAGAAGAAGACTGTCATATCTGTGCAGTAAGCACTAAACTACAGCCAGCAGCCTGTTGGCTAAACTTAGCATTAAGGCTTGAACCAGAGGGAATCAGCTTGGCTAGTTCTGTCTGAATTTAACAACTTCCACCTACAACATCTCTAACGCTGACATTATTATATACATCTTGTTTGTTTAATCTGTCCAAAATCCAGATGTAAAAAGGATATATTGTGGATCAACAAGTTGCCTGGCAACCTCACTGACTGTGACAACAAGACCTCAGAAAGTTACTCCGCCAGGCCAAGAAACAGCCCAGCACTTAAACAAACAAGTGTTTAGTAGTGAGCTTTAGAGATGCTGGTTGCCATTGGACAGAGCCAAGCTAGCGGTTTCCCCTTGTTTCAAGTGTTGGTGCTATGCTAAGCCAACTGGACTAAGCCTGCATGACTTCAAATTGACCATAGAGACACAAGAGTAGTATTGATCTTTTATTTAAATCCCAGCGAGGAAGCAAATACGCATATTTTGCTAAATGTTGAACAGTTTCTTTCAGGTGTCAGGTTTGGAGCTTGATACAGCAATAAAATAAAACAGCACACACTCAAAAATACTAAAACAGGAAAGACAAGACAAAGAAAGATGAAGGAGGAGGTGGGAGTGACAGAGGGAAGAAAAAAGGAGAATCCAAGTGCCGTAGGGCATGTGAATGTGTTAAGGGAGGGGGAGAAAGTTTAATACCTCCCTAGATTAATTTCCAACACAGGCTTGCATCTCATCTACTTTTCTCTCCCTACTTGATTCCCCTTCAGCTCAATATTTACCCAGCTCTTTGGCAGAGCATGGGTGGAGGCACGCGAACCTAGATTTTAGAAAACCCCATTAATTCCAAACTCATTAAGGAGGAAGGGCGTAGGTTATTATTTGTGTCAAGGCCCAAATTAAATAGTTAAGATGTTGGTTGAGTGTCTGGGTTCCCAGTTTAGTCTATGACTGTTGTGCCTTCACAGCCGGTTGGTGACCTTTTCCTATTACTGAAAAGGAACAGCTTTGGTACAGTAAAGTGGTGGTGCACTGATGGATCTCTGTGAAAATATGTGTATGTATTCACATCTATACACATCGTTGTGGGTGTATGTTCTCATTTGCAATTCACACTTTCAAGGTTTTAAAGTGTTGACGTCTCAGTTGGATATTTCAGTGTTTTCTCTCCCACTTTGTTTTTTAAATTTGTCTCGGTAAACAATTTTTGGCAGCTAAGAAGAGAGACTGAAGATTTACTGCAAAGGATGTCTAGTCTTTGAATATTTCTAATCCAGAGAGAGTTGTCCACAGAGTAACTTCAGAGATAATATGTCAAGGTAGACGCTCTGATCTGTTTGCTCTGGGAGATCTAAACCCACTCTGATGTTTCCACGTCCTGCATCCCCCACTACCACCCCCCACCCCCGGGTGTACTGAAACGGACGGACAGAAAAACAACAACAACAACTACGAGCAGCAGACACCGCCGCGCTGCACAGAATTATCGTGGCCAAATATGAAACGATGCTACAGACAGGTGTGGCAACAGACTTAATGAGAAACATCAGAACTTCTATATTTTTCATTAAGTGTCTCTTTTTTCTCATTCTAGCCGTCTTCCTCACCCCCTCCAACTCCCCTTCCCTGCAGTCCACTCCCTCTGCTTCACAGTTGTTAGGCAGGTGAAGGAAGTCATGTCGAACACTGAAGATTTGCTTTGGCTTTTGACTGATGCAAGAGCTTCAAGGGATTGAGCTGTTTGTGATGTTAAGTACTCAGAACCCCAACTCTACTTCTCATTTAAAATTTCTATATATGAAAGTTGTTTTTTTTGCAGCTTAGATCAATGCATGCCCCATTCCATTGGGTGAACTTTTATAATTAACTTGTACTTAAGATAAAACACTTTGGGCAAACAGAACAACGTCAAGACAGAGGAGTCTTTGTAATGAATAATAGAACATTCGAAATAATTGAGCACAAAAATATCCTTTAGTGTGCTATGTACAGTATTTCAACCACGCTGGTGACACAAAGGACCTCTTGACTGACAGCTCTTTCACTGGGCTGTGACCAAAGTCATGGAAATGACATGAGTGCGTTGGTGTTAATTTGCAGAAAAGGAGAATCCCACTGCTCAGCTCTAACTTTCCTTTGTGAGCCCCTGAGGTTTGATACAATGCAGACTGAACTCCTCCTGTCACTCGTCTACCTCCGCTGAGGTTCCGGCTGGAAGACTACAAATATGCTGCTGAGTTCTCACTGGCCTGTAACCAATGTGTGTAGGTGTATAAACACATATGTGAGGGGCTGTCTCCACAACACAATTCTGTCAATATTTGCAGTAGTGAAATGGGGTAATGTGAGAGAAAAAAAATTAGATGAGAGACAGAGGAGAGAGAGGAGCTGCAGTGTCTTGTCTATGTGTGTCTTATTTATAGTGGGACGCTGTGTAGGTATTTAGATTTAACTCACGCTCAGAAGCAGGCACTTGTTCTCCTTGATGGCACCCAGACAACCGAGAAAGCCTGTTACCATGACGATGGCGCCGATGGCGATGACCATGTTGGCAGCTGACAGTGAGGGGAATGAGGGCGAGAAGGTGGCGAAGCTGCCCTGAGACACAGAGAGCCAGATGCCCACGCCGAGCAGCCCACAGCCACATAACTGCAAGGCAAAAAGATGAGACAGACGACAAGGTGAGAAAACAAACAGCAGATAAGTACTACCTTTGGAAATGATTGGCTCTCATCTGGCAGATATTGCTCGTAATGCCAGACCCTCTGAGCAAGTAATCTACAGAGCAAGGTTTGCACTAAATGAACACAAATCCCAGCTCAAGAAGCCCCATGCAACAGGTTCCCTCAGGATGCTCGGGGAATTGCCCAAGCAGTCATCCATCACCGCAACACTGCTCAAAAAACAAGAGTTTACCCCAATTACAACTACAATAAGCCAATAACAGTTCTGCAAGAGATTAGAGCAAAAATTGGACTTGGGCTGTGCCGGTTTTGCACGTTTGAGCTGATTATGTTAAACCCTGCACAAACAGAGACGTAATTACTGCCACCCCCTAAAATGAAAACTTCCAAGCTTTCCAAAACTACCTGCAGTAGACTTGAACTTCACCTAGAGGGAGCAATTCCCTAATTCCTCTCTGCCACCCTGCTAGGCCCCCGGTGACGCCTGTGAGGTCTGCAATGTGAGTTTATTAATGCAAGAGTGTTTATAGAAGGCTCTGATTGGCAAAGTGGAGTGTCCCACTTGCTGATGTGTTGGTCCATCTATCAGAGATAAGAGCCATACAACATGCCAAACACACACTGAAATATAGGCTAGAAGGTAAGTGGTGACATTTTTGCCTGCACCTAATAGAATGAAATACCCAAGGCAATCTTGCTATGAATAAAAAATGTTCCAAATGAGGTAAAATATGGAAAGGCACCATGGTAAATCATCGCACCGCCGCCCTTTCTACCCTTCTGTTCACACAGCTCCCCTCCTCCCTTCCCATCTTCGCACCGCTGCTCCGAAACACTTTAATGCCTGTCAGCAATATGTACAACAAACCTGCTGCGCATGCAAACAAACACGAGGCCCAGAATCATATACAGTGTACACACACAGTCATTATTAAGTGGGAATTATGGATAAATCAACTGTTTCCTCTTTCTCTTTCAGAGTAAAATAATGAATGCACCCCACACAGCGCTAATTTCCTTCTGCCACAGTCTAACTGACAAATAGCACAACTCATAATAAACCTGCCAATGTGCCGCAGCACTTTCACAACAAACCAAACCACAACTGTGCGACTTTAATTTGACTAATGGCACAAGTCTGTTGATCAGCTATGCTGCACCGCAGGCTAACAAAGTGACTTAAAGCACATAACAAGACCACCAAACTCAAAAGTTCCTCTCAGAGATGTCAGGTGATGATGTGTAAGAGAAACCTTTGGGGTTTCAAATGCAACCCTGATGAGGTGGTGAGAGACACTTCGGGTCTAATGAGTCCTATAGGATCAGTAGATACATAAACTGAGTTCAAGCAACCCACTCTCAAGTGTCAGATGAGTGTAGTTTCACTCTCATTAACCTGTGACCTTTGAGCAGAGGGGTTTTGTGCAGGCTCACCTCCACGGATGAGAGTGCTTTAGTGCAGATGAATGATATACGTGCTCTCCCGAGGACTAAGAAATGACTAGATTCAATTAAAAGTGAGGACACAGAGAGAAAGAACCAGTACTGTACGTAAAGGACTCAGGATAGATAAAAAACATGTCTGAGAGTGCTCAAATTCCAGCACTGATTGACGGCACTGCTCAGATTCTGTGAAAGACTGGATTTGCCGCTCTGACAAACAAAGTTCGAGTGCTGCTGTCAAGGTTGAAGGCGAGGGGGAAGGCTGGCCCTGCGCGCTCTGAGTGAAGGACACTTTGGTCCCATATGGATGAAAGTCGCAAAGTTGCGTTGGATTTCTCGCCCAGAATGAACGGGTGGTCTGAGTAAGACCACTCCTGAGAGAGGGAGAAGTGCAGTGGTGCTCGGAAGACTTTCAATCATATATCATCTAAATAATTCAGAGGCAAATGTATTCGCTGGGAGGCCCTTTGTGCTTCGCTGATTAAAACAGGAGAATGAAACGTCAATTGAAAATGCTGGTAAAGGTCATGTCCCTATGCAGAGAGGCTAATATACGGAATCACAGCTGACACTCTGCAGAAGGCCAGATTATATAGAGCGTGAGGAAGGGTTCGAGGGAGCGGGAGAGGAATAGTAAGTTTAAAAGGCCAGATAGATGGAGTGGATTTACAGCTAGCGGGGGGCGCACCGGGAGGTCTAAGAGTCCAGGTGGGGAGGGATACAGTGCCTTGACTTAATTGTGTTTAATGCCCAGTGAAGGGAGCTTGTCCAAGTGTGTCGCTCTCTTAAGTGACTGTGAAACCACCCAGCCCCCGCTCAATCAGTCTGATCTGAGCCTACAGTACCAGGAGCACGGTATAATCTCTGCCCTGCTTCTATTACCACTACTACTACTAATACTACTACAATAACAACGACACGCTGTTGTCAGACCTCTGTGTCGTTGCCACAGGAAATACCTTCAGCATAAGCTCTGATCTCTTTGGTTATCTGACCTTGGTGTGGCAACCGAGCTTGACCTCGTGCCCCTCTGCTGAGCTGCTTATCTACTTTTAATTGTCGGACGGGCATGTTGTGATATCCCATCTGCGGGGGAAGGATTAAGGAATCCCCAAATACTAAAGAAGCGTGTAAACAGTCATGGAGAAGGCTTACTATAGGCAGTCATTGTTATTACACCAGTCAAAATGGTCGATGCTCCAGGGTTATGATTAACATTTGGGTTGGGCGAATAAATTTGCCTACATGTTCTATGAACAAAATAACGCAATCGTGTTTCAATTCACTTGGTGGTCTTGAATGATGTGGCGCAAGTCAATACGCCAAGTGATGCAACAACTTGTGTGACTGAAGACTGGCTGGCACGCTTTATAAGATCTGCTAGTCACTCAAAAGTCCAACAGTACTACTAACCGTACCACTATTTACATAATGTTATTTGTTGTTGGGGTATGGGCTTGGGCTATGCAACTTGACCTAGTATGATTCTACACCAATTATCTGTGCAGATAGAGACAACCAGCATGCTCTGGGCTATTACTCTGCTTTCACAATCCATGTATGCAACTTTTCAAGGCACAAGTACATCATTAAAAGACTGAGGCTGATGCATGACAGCTTGCCAGGTCCACCACTGTATCAATTTTAACAAGCTTTGGTGAGGTACTGAATCTTTTAGCACTCCAGACTTTCAAATATGTATTTCGGGTTTAGTTATTGGAAAACACTGTCAAAACAACTTGGCTGTTTTGTTTTGTTGATGTTCTGTTTTGTCTTTATGACGTTCGCACACATACATGTAGCGCAGAGATGCCTCCATCCTATTTAATCACTGTAAAGGTCACTTTCATATTTTACTCTGATAGGAACATTTCTTCCAACCGTGATAATGAAAAAATTCTTTGCAGTCTGGAACGCAAAACTCGCCGCTCTTACCACTGAATTGAGTTCAGAGAGTTAACAACACTTCTGACAAGAGGGATGAGGGATGCTCGGCGCGTGTAATTGTGGTTGATATGGAGTCGTTTAAAAAAAAAAAAAAAAAATCAATGAAAAAGAGTGAGCGCAGCAGTCGAGAGAGTATGTGACCTTTTCATATGTGTTAGGCAGTATTTTGAGGGCCCCTCCATGGCAAGGCAGAATGGAGTCCGGTGTGTAAATGTCACTTGTGCAAGAAGTGGCACGGGGAGACCAGCAGAAAGGAGGAAATTGGTGACTCTATCTAGCTGGATAAATGGGGCCCTACTTTTTTCAGGACCCTGTAACAAGCTCAGGGTGAAAATGATTGCAATAATACTGTGTGAAGCAACTGTGAGGATACTTTCCAAACAGGAAGGAGAGGTGAAAGAGGTCAACCATAAGGTGTTGTGAAAGAAAGATAGAAAGTATTAAAGCCAGGAAGATTGGACACACATGAGATGTGTATGAGAGACAGAGAGATTAAGCTTAGAGGGAGAGAAGAAGAAGAAAATAGGGGTGTGACCCTTCCTCTGAGTGGCTGGCTCGGGGAATTATCAGTCACTGCAGTAACTGGCTCAGTGACATGAAGCCACCCGGCACAAGGCCCCACACTTCAATCTCCCCTTGAGGAAAGGGGTCTGAGAGAGGGGTGTGCCATGTGTGTGTGTGGGTGTGTGTATATGTGGAAGTTAGAGGAGATTGACCTCTTCACACTCATAGAGGTCACGTCCTGTCGTAAAGAATGACAGCTTTTGTCAAATTACTGCTGCCCTCTGTTGCTCCTCTCATCACACAGGCTCAATGATCTTGTGAATGAGTTTGTAAAGTTTGAGTGAGTGAGTGAGTGAGTGAGTGAGTGAGTGGTGTGTGTGTGGCTGTGAGTGAACAGAGAGTGTGTGTTGAAGCCTCTTACTTACAGCTGAGAGTAAATAATTGTTATTTTACACAGAAATAATAATCTTCTATAGACATCTGCTGTGCCATACTGAAACTAACCTTTTGTTTTGGTAATTAGAAAGCACTTCTTCCATTACAGCACAATAAACCATAAAATTGGGGAAAATGCCAACCTGACTGCACTGCTTGAGGATGGAGCCACTTTATCACTTTACGATCCCCACTGCCCTTTTACCGTAACTCCATCTTTCTTTTTATTGGGAATTTTTTTTTTTTTTATTTCTTGCTGCACACAACATCTTCTGCTTTGGCCGTCATTGATTTTGCACTGAAATGAAGACAGGAGGATATTCACTTCAGATAAAAGAAGATTTTTCTTTTCTTGCCATGTGATCCCTAAAGCCTGTGATTCATGTTACCATATAGGCACTAAATGGCCTGCCAACTGCGTGAGGGAAACAGAATCACAGAGCTACACACTTAATAAAGCAACTATAGACATCAAACAGGAGTGAACGAAAAAGCCTAAAAGCAAAGACAGGCTATTTGTATTTTCTACCCAGCAAGTGGAAAAGGTCTTCATTGAGGCATGTTGTGAAAGAAAAAGGAGTCATTTTAAGGGTAGACTCTCCAGAGAGAGTGTTTGTGTATGCCTGTCATAAAAGG